TTTCAATTAGCCTGGGGTCGGGATAAGTCGGGCATGGTTGTGATTGGTTCTGGGATGTGGTTAACCACGAAACGATCATGACCTTAGTTTTGTCCGTGCCTGGTTCCTCTTAGACCGCCAAAGTGAGGCCGGTACCAAACACGATGGAGATCTATTCGTGCCGCTCCGGGACGGACGGTCTTTGGGGCAACAGGCAGTGCCTTCGGTCGGCGGGAGTGGCTTGCGAATACTCTGACCCCGGGCGACTCATTTTTTTTGTCGATATAAGTACACTGTCGAAATGGAAGGATGAGTACGTACTCTGTTGCATCATATAAGATGGCTTACACTATCGGCGTGGGAACTTTCGGAAGAGTAAAACGTAAGCAGTACGTTCCATTAGCCGGCAATGGCGTTGGCAGAATCGTGTTAGACAATCGATCTATATGTGTAGTGGCAACCCATGAGGTTACGGGCCAGAAGGTGGCGATTAAGATCATCAACAGAGCAAAAATGCAATCTCTGGACATGAGTGGCAAATTACTACGGGAGATTTCTATCCTACAGAAACTCGGTTCGCACCCTCATATAATACGTCTCTATGTAAGGTCCTTCAACTACGTACTCCATGCAGGAGTACGTACCCCTTGCTCATCACCAAATCCGCTTCGCCCCCCAAACACGTTTCACTGTTTAGGAACTAATAGATACACCCACGGATATTTTTGTTGTTATGGAGTTTGTTCCTGGTGGAGAATTATTCGACTACATCGTTCAGAGGGCAAGGCTAGGGGAGGTTGAAGCTCGGAAATTTTTCCATCAGATCATTTCTGGTGTTGAGTATTGCCATGAACAGATGGTTTGTCATAGAGATCTGAAACCGGAGAATGTTCTGCTGGTTAATGACAGTGTTGTGAAAATAGGTGATTTCGGACTATCCAATATTATGGCAGATGGGGATTTCTTGAAAACTTCATGTGGGTCTCCTAACTATGCTGCCCCCGAAGTGGTATCTGGCAAGTAAGCCGCTTCGCTCTCCTTTGCATGCCAGCGCACACTCCAGCGTTCTGTGTAGTTGCGCTCCCGGTTTCATAAGCAGCGCACACGTGTGTGCACACGTGTGTGCACACGCGTTTGCGCCCTTTGATTTACTTGCTCTTTCTTGTTAGAGCGTATATGGGCCCGGAGGTAGACGTATGGTCCTGTGGGGTGATTCTGTATGCACTGGTATGTGGTACGTTGCCGTTTGATGACGAGCACGTGCCGAATTTGTTTAAGAAGATTAAGACTGGGAATTTTGCGCTGCCGGGGCATTTGTCTCCGTTGGTCAGGGGCTTAATTGTGCGGTTATTGTTGGTGGATCCGGCCGAGCGGATCACGCTCCGGGAGGTTAAGCGTCATCCATGGATGACCGGTTCAATCGATCGTGGGACTGGTGATTCGTTGCATCAACTGGCTACACTGCCAACCGCGACGACGGCGCAAATTGACTATAGTATCGTCAAGAAGTTGAAGGAGCTGGGGTATGAAACGGATGTTACAGAGATTGCGAAACATCAAAAGCTGAATACCGCAGTTCAGCTACCCAAAGCGGTCGTCGCCTACCGATTGCTTTCTGACCGACAGAAGACTCTGGTAAAAAAAGAGAGCCGAAAAACTATCCCCCCCCATACATCAGGAGAAAATCGAGATGGTAATCGAGATGGTAATCGGGGAGATGGTAATCGAGGGGGAGATAATAGTCGAGGAGGAGATAATAATCGAGGAGGAGACGACAAGAGGAAGGATCAGAAAGTCATCGACTCCGCGATTGACTCAGCCGGCGAGTCTATTTTCTCTTTTTGCAAGGAGTTGCGGTACCAAGTTTCCACCGCAGCGGCCTTCCATTATGATATCTTCCCAGGCGGCCATCAACTATTGGGAGAGCCAATTCACGACCCAATCGCGGCTCAATGGAAGCTGGGATTTGAAACTACGCTGGAGTCTATAACACTAATGACGGCCGTGTATCATCTGCTGAAGTCGTTGGATCATGAATGGACAAGTATCCACCCGTTCAAAATTATAACGAGACCGAGGAAAAGGAAAAAGGAAGAAAACGCCCTATTACTTATCATCCAAGTTTTCAAGACCAATCATAACACCAATCAGCTCTGTTTGCAAAATTATAGGGGACCAGCGCAGTGTAGGACACACGTCGGCACTAAAGTTAATTAAGGATGCCTGCCAGTGGTTTGTTAGGGGTTTGTTAGGGGTTTGTTAGGGGCTGTCCTGCTTGGTTGTCAGACATCTCCGGGGGTTGTGGTTGATTTGTGACCTTTCAGGTGGAGCAGAACATGGTCTATATATGCTTTACGGCTTGTATAAAATGGCTCATCAAGTTGCCGCCAGAATTCACCAGCCAAAGGAGGAAGGGTAGAGAAGAAGACCAGCCACAGAAGAGAACACCAGCCACAGAAGAGAACACCAACGACAGAAGAGAACACCAGCGACAGAAGAGAACACCAGCGACAGAAGACAACACCAGCGACAGAAGACAGGCAGAGAAAAGGTATAACGAAGGCCGACAGTCTTTTACAAAACTGACATAGGAAGAATTCAACGAAAATCCACCCTCCCTATTTTTGCCATCAACTTTGCCATTGAATCCTGCCCACGAATTATACACCGAGAACCTCCTGCAGGGGATTCACGTGGCCCGCCATGGCCCGCCATGCTGTTGATGAGGAGATGCTCATCAGTGAGGTTTTGTCAGCGCTCAGTAAGCCGTGTTAACAAGGAAGAATCATCCACCCCACGAGGAGCATGGTCAGCCGTTAACAAGAGCCACCTTCATCTTCAC